AAAATCCACTCAACGTTGTTTCATTGATTCTTGGATTTGTTCTTTTAGCTTCTGTTTCATTAATTTCTGCCCAGACCTTCATTATTTCTTTCCAACTACTGCTTTTAAGTTTAGTTCATTCTTGTTTTGTAAGATGTTGATGTACATCATTAAGTTATTTATTTAAGATATCTCAGATTTTAGAATGGAAACAGTCACATTATAAATTGCCTTTGCTTTATCCTGAAGTCTTGCTATAAGTCACGGGAAAGAGAAGCGTCCACAAGCTCCACAAACCCTTGAGCCTGTCTGTGATGGACGAGTGTCCGTTGTCTCCCAGAGCTGTCCTCACTGCCACAGCTTCCCTTCTGAGCATACCAGAGGTCTCTGCTGGCCACATTCACCTTTGAAGTCTGTAGGCTAAACAGGTTCTCCCACCCTTTTGGGACCTCTCAGATCCTAGTCTCTGGGCTGGTTAATGTTCCAGCTGGGGGATGTCTTCCAAGTGTGTTAAGAATGTGGGAGTCAATGACAGCATTGCTATCTGCACAGGCATCTTAACTGAGCATGCTGGGGCCTCAGAGTTTCGGGACTCCACAGCAGCAATGGAAGATAAATGGCTTAAAAAGTCAACTCACTTGCTGACCCCAGGCACAGGGCTAGGGAAGTTCTGAGTTATTCTCCACTGATGGGTTTACCTGAACTTTTCAGTCTGCCAGTATCTGTCCCTCCCACTCACCACAACTGCTTTCCAGGGCTGTTTCTCACACTGGGCTGCTTAAATTCAAATACGGTGGCCTGTGATGATTTCCAGTTCTCAGGACCCCAGGGTAGCTCAGTTCTAAACAATAGGTTCACTCTCAATTCAGAGCCAAGCCACTGTTTTCTGAGTCATACAGTGTGATTACAAAACAGAGAGCATTGAGATGGCTCCACAGCTGTGCCCACTTCCCCTGAAGCCTGAGGATCTGAGTTCAATCCCCAGAAATCAAATAATGGTAAGAATAGGCTTCTTTGAGCTATTCTTTAGTTTCTACAGCCATACAACGGTACATACTCATACTCACACACACAGATAGACAGACACAGACATGGGTGGGGGAGAGGTAAACGGATGATTGAATACATGTTTAAAGTGTGATTTCTTTCTATTCCTGACATGTCCAGCAAAGGAAACACTGTCTCATCAAAACTCATCAAGTCCATTTGCTGCTTGTAAGCATTCTCTCTGGGCTTGTCCTGTGGCAAGAACGGCAGTCTCTTCTCACCAGAGTCTCCAGAGCTTCCAGGCTAAAGCTGTATTTCTCTTAGCTTACTTCTTTGCTCTGTGTTCCTTGTATCTTTTTCCACATTTTTCAGCCATGTTTTCATAAATTTCACCTCTGTGAACTTCCAGTGTTATTCCTCTCTGGAATAGAGTTTGATTTTTTTTTTCTTGTTCTGACTCTTCCTCAGTTCAGTCACAGCTAGGCACACACAATACTCTTTTTTTTTTTAAAGATGTATTTATTTTCATTCTATGTGTATCCCTGAGTGAGTGCCTGCATGTGATTATGTACACCACATGTGTTCCAGTATGTGTGAAGACAAAAAGAGGGTGTCACAGGCTGGAACTGGAGTTACAAGTTGCTGTGAGCTACTCTGTGTGGGTGCTGGCTACCAAACCTGGATCTTCTGCAGTAGCAGAAAGTTCTTTTAACCAGTGAGGCATCTCCCTAGCCACAATCTTTCTGTTTTAATGTTAGCATGTAGATATAAGCCAGGGCCATCCATTGTGGCATGCAATCCAGGATAGCTGTAGAGCTAGCCCAATACAAACCACAAACTTAAAACATTATAGGACCATTTTTGGTAACTTGACTGCATGGTTCTTGAGCATGAATTTTCAAGATGACAACATCGTGCCACAATATCACACGAAATAAAGCTGTGTGTGCTCTTGATGTTTGTGTGCACGCATGTCTTCCACTTTACCAAGGTTTGTGGCTCTCAGTTGTGTTGTTATCTTCCAGGCACAGGCACTCAGAATGGTATCATCGGGCATGACATGCATTTATGGTTACTTAGAGAGCGAAGTGGGGCTCTTGTCCCTGAAGTCTTAACCTTCCATTACAAATGATAGATAGACATTTAATGTTGCTTAGAAGACAAGTAAGTAGCCCAGTGTGGTGTCACATGCCTGCAATCCCAGTGCTTTCGGAGGCAGAGGTAGGTGGATCTCTGTGAGTTTGAGGACAGCCTGGTCTTCAAAGTGAGTCCAGGACAGGCAAGACTACACAGAGAAACCCTGTCTCAAAAAAAAAAAAAAAAAAAAAAAAAAAAAAACCAAAACAGCAACAACAGATAGAGAGAGAAGAAAAAGGAGGAAAACAGAAGAGAAGACAGGTTAAGTATTCTTGTAATTCCACACCTCAACTCTGCCTCATGGGCGGTCTCCTGAACTTTACACTTGTTCTGCCTCACCCAGCATTCTGTGAGTCATATCGCAGTCCACAGTACCTGTACTCTTTGCAAGGTTGAATGCCCAAGCATCTCTCTGCTTTGTTCCAATTTGGTCTTGTGGGCTAAGAAGTAGATACTGCTGTTTACCCCGAAACTCATCAGAGCACTGTTGCTGGAAATTGAGAACAGTTGCTGAAAATTGGCCCAGGAAGACCACCGGATCTTTGCTGTTGGTGTTGGCTTGTAGGCATTAAGTCTGTCTTCAAGTACACTCTAAACACTCATCATGATCAGGTACTGAGAGCGAATCCTCATTTAAGCCATCAGGAGCTTACATCTCAATAGGACACTCCCTGGATGAACTTCACCTGGAAATTCATGGTTTTCGGGGCATCCTTGGACTCAGAGACAGAGAGTGCATTCTAAGACCAATCATGCACCTGTAGGGCTGTAGCTCTAGACAGGCCAGTAGATGTGCAGCTGTCTCTTCATGGGTGCTTCTGAGTCACTTGGGTGCTTGTGGGTATCTTTAGGGAAGAAAGAATATCCAGGCTCTAAAGGGACTCTGAGCATGTTCTCTATGGGGAGAGCTTGGGCAATGCCTCTGAGACTTCGATCAGTCTAGGATGGCAGGCATAGTCTAGGACACTTTTATGGTCACAGTAATCCTTCCTTGGAGTTCCATCTAAAACCAGCACGTGGGCTATAAGAAGATCCCTGGGGAAGCTCGGCAGAGGACTTAGACCTCCAGCATCAACCTGTGCATGTACTGGCCTGTGGCCTCCATACGTGGCCCACTTGGCCTAACTGACCTACAAGTGGCTATGTTGGTGTTACCAGAAGCTTTTATTCTGGATGAAAATGGACTTTACGGGAGTACAGGGAGGCTAGGGCATGGAGTACTGATCAATGGCAATGCCTTTTGAGCCTCTCCCCTGTAGGTTCCCTGCTCTCTTATCCACACCTCTGAGTCCTATAGATGAAGTTTGAGGCTTCTGTGTTTCTCCTCTAGCTGTCCTCAGTCCTGGGTGTCAAGTCCGCTGCATGAGCACAGAGAAGGAGAAGCAGAAGGTGAGGCTGTTTGAACCTTACCCCTATGCCCCTGAAACAGGAGTAGCCGACAGCTGGCCTGAGGTACTCATGCATCTGATTATCCCCGTGGAGGGTTTTCTCATGCCTTTCCTGACTTCCGGGCCCCTCTCACCGTGGATTCATTTTACCATCTCACTGTGGGTCTTAGTTCATTTTAGCGTCCTTTGTACAGATCGTACCTTGCATACAGGGGTACAGCAAGAGGAGTGAGGAGGCAGAACCCCAGCTTTTTGTTGTTGTGCTGTACTCTTCGTGTACAGGATCGGACACTTTTCTGCTCTGAACTTCCCCCGACACTGGCTGTCCTCTGCTCTGAGGAAATGCCCGCTTCCTTGCCCTTGGAGAAGGAAAGGTTGTGGACATGGGTGGTTTGGAATGAGAACTGGTTATCAAGCTCTGTGCTGGAAAAGCGGCTTAGTGTTCTTGAGAGGACACTGTTCTGACACTGGGGAACCTACAGGGACCAGTGGAAAGCTTCTTCCCTATCACTGGCCGGGAGAAGTGGGCTCAGCCTCATCACTGGGCTTTGCTGTGGGACTGTTTGAGAAGCAAATTCAACCCCATTCTTCTAGCTCTGTGACCTTCAGAGCACAGGAGGTAGAGAGGAGGAACTTTCTGGAAGCACAGGGTGGAGCCTTTTCTATATTTTAGCTGATCCTCTATTTAGTCTAATCCTCTATTCGGGATGGCATATGACTGAGACCCAAGCAGCAATGTCTTCAGTCATGAGGTGGACAAAGAGAGAATAGGATTCAAGCTCTTAGCTTTTCATTATCTTCACACTCATGTGGTCCCACAGTCCCACGTTGTCTCTCCTGGGGCCTCCAACCCTTCTTATTCATGTGTGTGTTACACAACTCAGAACTCACATGAGAACTACCCTATAAGTAACAGGAACTTGAGTGTGGAGGTGATAAAGGGATGCCTGGGCTATTAGCATTCCAAACTATTAGCAGACCAAACTCCAAATTCTGTAAGAATTTGGTCCTCTCTGTTGGGGAAGCAGGGTTCTTGGAGGAGGCTGGCCAGCAGCAGTCAGTAAATAAACCTCCGGTTTTTATTAGGTCCCTCACCCAGAACAGGAACACTGCGCAGAATACTGTGGTTTTCAGCCATGTGACAGGGACAGCGTCCCTCTGTTGCCTTCTACCGTGACCCACATGTGTAGGGAGGACCTTCCTCTTCCAAACTGTTGTGACTGTGGGACAAACTCCTATAACTTTACAGTAAGCCACTCTTTGTACAGTGAAAGACTGATTGGTCTCTAAGGAGGAATCCAGGTTATCCTGAGAAAAGGGAACACCTTTCCCCATAGAGACTGTCTGGCACTGGCACTTAGACCAAGAGGAGTGAGTGAGTAGCAGGGCCTGTTGCTTGCTAAGCTCTTCTGCTAAGACTACATAGTCCCTCAGAGTTGGGTTTGAAGGGCAAAACCAAGTGTGGAAAATTCCACATGGTAACAACGCTCACTGCAGATTCTTTGCAGCCACATTTGAATACAGAACTTTATTAGGAAAATTGTAAGTGATGATACATCATTTTTATTGATATGACCTCAAAGTAGAAATGGCTTCTCAAATAACTGTCATATATTAAAAATGAAATAATAATAATAATAATAAAAAAGCACGCACTGCATATAGGAAGCTGCCTTCTCCTGGACCATTTTCACATTATCTGGGAGACAGAACTGAAACAAAATACAGTATTCACCACATGCAACACAGAACACATCGCTGCTTAGACACTGCAAGCCCATCGAGGTTGGCAAGAACTTTGCTGAGTGGTTTTGTGAACTTGGCAATGGCCGAAGTCTGCTGGGGACTTTGGAGGTTTCCATGGAAGGCTTTGAGGAACGAGACTGGTTACCTTAAAATGGATCAGGGAAGCATCAGAGAAGGTGTGTAGAGGGAATGCTTCCTCAGTTTACATCCATCTGGAAAAGACTGCATCCCCTGGGGAAGGATGACTGACTGCTGTGAAGAAACCCCTAGTAACACTGACCATAAACTCACGTATAAGATGAACAGAACCCAGTGGAGAAGCTGAAAGCCTCAGGCAAGTCCCACAGAGGAGTGCAGCCTTTTGCTTTCAGGCCCTCTCTCAAAGCTGAACGGGCAATGATCTGACGGAGGGCTCTGCTGCCCCTTTTGCCCTTCCTTGCTGCTGTCCCATTGCCCTCGGGGGGGGGGGAGCAGTAGCACAGTGTAAACAACACAAGGCACAGATCTGGGTTTCAACACGAAGCAGACTGATGTCTCCAACCCCCTCTCCCTATCCTGATGCACAGGCTGGTAACAGAGGGGCAGGCTGCCTGGCAGGTTACTCGGCGCCGCCCGAGGAGAGGTGGGAAGCAGGCAGCACCGGGACCAGGAGGGACAGCTACGTGTTCCCAAATCAACAACAGTCTCTGCAAGATGATGGAGGGGGGATTAAGGGAGGGCAGGACTTTTCCTATGTAAATGTACTATTTAAATGCACACTTGCTTTAGCCAGGGTGTCTCCACCTAGAGACTGATTGTCATCGGAGGAATTGATACACAAATGAGTCTCCCGGCAGGTTCCCCCCTTATCTTTTTAGGACACCTTGAAAGGATCCCTAACCCTAATGAAGTTGGAGGGCTGAACTGGTTGCCTTCCTTCCAAGCAAACATCCTTAAAAGCTTGGATTAGGTGCCAAGTGGCCGCTGCACTAGCAACTCGGTTGTGTGGTATCTGTTCCATTCCCACGGCCATTTCAAGAGGGTTTAAAACAATTCTGCATCCTCATAACGATCTGCCTCCGCAACTACCCACATGCCCCACATCCTAACCAGCTTTTAGTTTCTCGTTCAAATTTGATGGAAATCTTGCTGGATGGACTAGTCATAAGAATCCTCCCCCCTCCTGCACACATCGCTAACAATTCTACAGACTTATTTGCTCTCAATCGCCTGTTTTTGAAGATTATCTTACCATAACTTGCTTCCTCCATCGGGTGGAAGCCAACGGGTGCCTCTCCTTCCTTCCCTCTTCCCCCTACATCTTTGTCCTTTGAAGAACTGGCGAGTTTTTACTGTGCTTTAGTCAAAGGGGCAGTGAGCTTGACTGCAGAGGACAAAACACTTGGAGAGCCACACATCAAACAGTGGCCACTCCCACCTGCTAGGCTTCAGAGAAATGCCCAGCCGGGTACAATGTTCATTCGCTTATTCGCTGCCCTTTTCAAAATGATTTAAAAGAATTGCGGCCTGCTGTCAACCCTCAACAGAATGATGGACTTAAGGCCACAGTCTTAAGATAACAGTTATGGAAATATTGAGGTTCTACGGTTCTCAGAGCTAAGTGCTGCTGCAAACCACATTTCTTTGGGCTTTGTGGGTCCAAAATGACCCTCTGAGCAGTGAGGAAACCAAGACTACTGTTCTCACACTCCATGATCACAGCCTGGATCTCAGGGCACCACCTCATACTCAGCTTTTGCATTTGGGTTAGAGACAGTGCACAGATGAGACATTGGTCATGGACATTGGTCATGCGGACATAGACTCTGAACAAAAGCGGGAGGTTGAACAGACAATATTCCAAACAAGACATTAGACGCGCACAGGGTTTTTGGGGGAAACACCAGACACTTTTCTTTCCTTCTTGCTGTCCCATTTGAATAAAAGATTTCATCTTGAGAGTCCTTTTCAGGATCACGGACGGAGAGAGTCTTGGAGACACATGATGATGGATGAGAGAGAATGATGAGCATGATGGGATGAGGAGGAGAGCGTGGGATGAGGGTGGATCTCACTTGCCCCTGACCTCACACTCCTGCCTCAGCTTGGGAAAGCCCTGCAGTCATTGGGGTGGGGACATCCAATTCCCTTTCAGAAAAAGGGTGAGCCTCAGAGAGACAAACCTGGGGAGGCCTTAGTCAGAGAAGGTCTTCCATGGGAAAGATACTATAACAAAGGAAATAACATAGCGGCCTTGGCCTCTCACCAATGACATTGGACAATCTGACTAAATGAGAAATAAACACCATGTATCTTGCTACATAATGAAATGGTGAAAATACAGCAAATTGTGCAAAGCGAGTCCCTTGGAAATGGCTCTAGCCCTGCTCAGGAGCAGAGGAAGTGGCTATGGGCCCTTCCCTAACACTGACTTCAGACCTAGGCTCCTTCTGCAAGTTCCTCAGGCGTCTGCCCCACGCCTCTCACATCTTGAACCTCCTGTTGACAAGAACAGAGGAGACACCGTTAAGGCAGGTTTTCACCACGTGCCTGGGATGCCGCGTGGCCTCGAAGCAGCCACCGGCCCTACTCCTTAGTTCAGCTTGCAGCCATGTGTCTTCCTTCTGAGGCCTGAGAGATTGGGAAAGCAGGGAAGGACACAGTCAGGGCTCACGCTGGAGGTCTGGATGATGGTGGGAAGCAGAGAAGACAGGTGAACACGTCAAGCACAGGGGAAGGCAGACACACACTGGCATAGGAGGCATGGTACGAGGAGCACATGACAAGGCACACTGCCTTAGCCTTAGGACAGTGGTGTTGAGGCCATGTACGGACCCCACCAACAGCAGGTGCTCTGTATTCCGGGCACCCCCACGCCTCAAAGCTCCAAGAGGCAGTTCCCACAGCTTCCATCAGAAATTCATTCTTCCTTGAAATTTCCTTGGCTGGTCCCACACCACCAGAAGAGGTCTTGGCACTCAGAAGGTGACCTCTGGAGCTGCATGTCCTCCCAGAAGGCATCTGTGCTGGACAGTGTAAAGACTACGTCTTTCACCTGCCTGAGCACATCCTATTTCAACCCATCACAAGATGAAATCTGTTTCTCAGGCATTTCCATGGTGACTGGGTCCAGCAGGCTGGGGTTGCCCATTAGGAAGCCTTCATAAGCACAGAGGGGCTCTTGGGAGTCACAGAAAGCAAGCAGAGCCCGCTGTGGTTCCTAAGGAATGGTCTACTCTCCTAGTCTCTACAGCCAGCTCCCCTATGGGTTAGAAATGGATGGTGGGAGGAAGAGTCCATGGGCATTTCAGAAAGTGCTTTCTCCCCTCAGGACAGCCTCGTTTGGCCTTTGGTTGCTAGGGGCCACAGCTGTCAGTGTTCTGGAGGGGCAGGGCATCCCCTTTCTCAGCAGAGCTGTGGCTTTCTGGCCTTCGGGAGTGTTTTAGTAACAGGAGGGAGGCTCTAGCCGAACCACTGAGACTGGACTGCAGCTGGCCGCCACAAGAAGGACAGACAGGGACCCTAGGCCTGAAGAGGTGCCCACCTGTAGTCCAGCCTGCTATCCCCAGATCTGAGGAAAAGATAGGGGCTGGCACAGCTGTCCAGATAAAGGGGTAGTAGTTGGTAACTTCCCCACCAAGCACCATGAAAGGCTATACCTATTTAATGGTAGAACCTATAAGGAACACAGAACTTAGGGACCCAAGAGAGTATGACACACAGGGCCCTGGGCGTTCCTTCCCCGGAAATCGATTTGATGCAGCTTCAGATCATTGATTCTTTCCGCACCAATTGTGAAAATCATAGAAGTGTGAGTGTGTCTACATGAGGTGAAGAGGAGGGTCAAGAAATACAAAGATCCTTTCCAATCGCTACTGAAATGAGGGCTTCGCTTGCCTCTATCCTTCCAATCCAAACTGGCAAAACAAAAACCAACAAACAAAAAAGATAAAAATTCCTAGGAGAGGATGGGGTAGGGGAGTGGAAAATTCTAGAACTTTAACCCAACTCATGAAAGGCAGGAATCTCTCAGGCGTGAGGACGGAGGCAGCTGTTCCAGAAAGCACACCATCCCAGGGATGTTGGGACCAAAACGACGGAGGACAGACTAAGAGTCCCTGAAGCTGCTGGCCTTTCAGAAAGTTCCAGAGCACATCTGCCCTCCCCACGAGGGACCCGTTTAAAGACTCTAAAGTGAGTCGTCCAAAGAAAAGATTCCCTGAGAAGCAGCTCACATCTGTTTTCTGAGATTTCATCATCCCTGCTGCTCACCCAACACAGTCTGCAAAAACCCTTCTGGGCTGCAGGCAAAGCTGCTCACACAGCCAGGGAAGCAGAGCTGAAGGGCTGAAGGTCCTTCCCAGACTGTAGGTACTTGGAAAAGCTTGTGGTGGGCCTGACAGCAAGTCAGTTACCTCATGTCCTGAAAGGACCACAGGGGCAGTGTGGTTCAGAGGAAGGTGCATGCCCTTTCCTGGCTAAGCAGATCACCCTGGCCTTCACAGGATTGCAGAGTTTAGGTGTGAGCCTTCTGAATTCCCAGCCAGGGGCTCAGCTCGGGGCAATGCTGCCAGGCTAGGCTGGTCCTCTGTGGCTTAGCCTCCACCCCAGTCTCTGTACATTTACTTTCTTCATAGCTTAGCAGACGGAGCAGGACCTTAAGAAGCACATAAATACAGCAGCTGGTGTGCCCACCAGGGCAGGAAAGCCTGAGCACCTGCCCGGGGTGTGAGGGTCTGCCCCAGGAAGAGGGAAGCGTTTACCATCAAGTCTGAGCCCCTGCCCGGGGTGTGGGGTCTGCAAGTTACAAAGCGGCAGAGCAGAAGGCACTGCGGTCCATCTGCAGGAAGCAGGTAACTAGTTTTTCCTTTTCTGGGCAGCCTTTCTCTTCTTCTGTCGCTTCTTTTTTCCTATCTTTTCTTTTTTCCCCACTTTTTCTTCTCTGCGCCCCCTTAGATAAAATTAGTAGAACCATTAATCACATTGCAACATATAGGAGCGTATCCCTGTTCGCACAATATTTAGCATTGCCTCTTATGGGTCGATTTAACTCTCTTCCATTTGAGGCCTGGAGACCACTTGGCAAAACGTAGTTCATAAGCAATTAATCAAAGTAAACTAGACAATCCCCCCACCCAAAAGTTAAACAGGATGGCCTTAACCCTATGACCTGGGAACTGCTGCTCATGGGGACTGCCAGTTTGCCAGGCTGGTCCTGGTTCTTACCACCCCTGCCAAAGCTCACCAAAGATGAGACAAGAATGTACATCTCAGGGGTCATGGAAGGAAGGCTGGGTCTGCCTGAGTTTTTATTGCAGAGGTGAACCCTGCATTTCAAATTAAAGAAAGCATTCAAGGCTGGGGCCCCAGCCTCAGGCAGCCCTCCAAGAGAGGCCAAGCTAAGGAAGGATGCGTGATTGATCCCACCTCTCTTTTCTGGATGTTGGGGAGCGTCCCTGGGGATAACTGAGATTGTTCTAGAGGGCTAGGGAGAGAGATGGTTAGCAGAGCTTTTTATTAGAGCAACTGGTTTGTGACTGTCACATTAAAATGATTCAAGCTGAATGGTATTTAATGATTTATGGGGTGAGGCCACCTGTTCCCACAAAAGCCTGATATTAACATAGCCCAGAGTCATGGGATTTTTACATGGGAAAATAGGAAAGCTTGATATTACTGGGGTTGAGTCTGGGGATTACATGAGGATGTTAAAAGAACCGAGGAGAAGGAGGGGGAGGAGGCATTAGTGAGTCAAGTATTATTCATCAGAAAACGAGCTTGAGTTAAAGAAAAAAAAATACACGAAAACTTTCATTGCAGACTCAAACTGCTCAGGAGATAAGCCTGCGCAGTGTCGCTCACCCGGACTACAGGGCAGTCCACAGCACCTGACCAGCAGGTAGGCCTGCTTTTCCAAGCTTCAGAAATGTATATGCAACTAATAGGCTTTATTTCAGGTAAATAAATTCCCACATACAGTAGGAGGTTTACAGCATGAAACAATTAGCATTTTATTGCTAGTGCATATAATGTCACAGTTGATACAATTTCAGTACAAGTGGAAAAATACACTGTGGCTGACATTGGAAAGCTGCAGTACATTTATAAGTCATATATATTTCTTTACAAATTGCCAGTAGTTTAAGATCATAGAGATTATCTACTGACATTACTATGGCTCCACTTCAAATATATGAATTGACTACAAATATATTCTGAAATACATTTGTTTTCCAAAGAAACATTAAAAAGTGCACAAAAATATATGTAAAAAAAAAAAAAAATGCCTTGCAAATAGTTACCAAAACCACCAGGGCCATCTGTGATCATAAGAATGTATCCAAGTTTTATTTTGTGTCTATTTCTGATTGGAATCTGGAATCCCCACTGTGGCTTCATGGCAAGATTCTGGCTTGTTCATCATCATCATCATTATTATTTTTAATCTCAGATATTGGAAAACTCAGAGCCAATGGAGCCACCATGGAATACATAGGACTTAGGAGCAAATAGAAAAGTCCAATTCCTCAAAGAAAGTTCTCAGATTTAAAATTTCGTTTATAACAATTCTTCAGACTTGACTTTTGTGGGTAAATAGAGGCATGGACTCACATTATCCAGGAGGGTCTGGCTCCATTCTGCAGGAGGCCAAAGCGAAATCTCACAAAGGGCCCAAGTGAGCGGAAAGCAAAGGGAAGAGAGGGAGGGCGCACCCCAAATCATTCCCCTTCCTTCCAATGCAGCATAGGTATATCAGGCTACAGAGGTGAGAAGCAGAAGCCAGAGGCAGAAACATGCTTTTTGGAGGCAAGCAGAGGAGAGCAGAACAGGCTAGGAAAGGGTCTCTGGGCACAGACCCCAGGGACAGCTTCTACAGGAAGCTTCCCTACCCAGGTACAATCACTGAACTGGAAAAAGGAGACAAAGCCAAGCGCCTCCAGCCAAGCCCTGAGCTGCGTGAGACGCGCAAGCAAGGCATCTGTCGAGGAGCGCCCCCTGCAGGACAAGTCCTGCAGCGTTCCTCCCGATCAGCTCGGGAGGACAGTTTCTCTCTAAAGCTCCCCTGAAAAGCCACTGCCTTCAACTGTGCCCAGAGGCCCCGGGGGGAAAAAGAGAAGCTCCAGAGCAAACTGAGTACAGACCTTGAAGTAATCGCTGTTTTTAAAAATGAGGATGGGAATGATGGGAATAATGAGGATGAGGAGGATGAAGCTAACCGGTTAGGGTAATACAATTTCATAGAAAAACCCCAGTTATAAAAGCTCCATTGTGCACTGGCGAGGGCTTGGATGAATATAAACTGCAATATCGTACCATACGCTATGGTGGAGTGTCTTTGTGCTGGCAAACCTCAGCATGACCCCGGTGAGTGCTGTCCCACTGGCCAACCTGGCCATGGTTCAGACCGCCCTCCCCAGCACCGCCCTTTCATCTCCCACGGATGTCAGCATTCCTCGGGGGTCTACTGGAAAGTCCTTTGGGCTGTTGTGCTTACTTGTTTAAAGCTTTCTCCAGGTACTCTTGAATCCACTTTAATTTCGGGTCAATGCACACTTGTCTGTTATTGCTCTTCAGCTTCGCACTGTCAAAACAGAAGGGGAGATGCTATACAGCTGAGTGGGGGGGGGTTGTGGGGGAAGTGGGAAGGCATTGCACGGGCACACCCAGCTTAAGGTTCTCACTGAAGGGCCCAGCAGCTGCCCCTGGTAGCCTCGGGTTTGGAAGCTGGCTGTTTTCTGGGGAAGACCCAGCACTTGAAGTGAATTCAGGTCCACCATCTCAGAGTCAGGGATGTGCTAAGGGTGTTTCCCAGGGGACACAGGGAAGAGATCACAGCGGGGGAGGCATTTGCGCCTCTGGCCCTTGAGGGATAAGCAGGAGTTTGGCCAGGTGAGTTAAAGTAAAGGAGAACGCAAGAACAAAGATGCTAAAGGAGTCAGTGTGCCCAAAGGGTGTGGAGGAAGAGCCACACCGAAGGGGTGGATGGCTGAGACTTCATGGGGAGGTCTCGGCAACTTCTGGGAGGGTGCCAGAAGCAGCCTTAAATTTTTGAAGCATCATCTTGAGAGCATATGCGACAAACTCAAGGGTAGCTCAGGAAGAAGGCTGCAGGGGTCCCGTCAGGGGAGGTGGGATAGTTCAGGTGGGCAAGGAGAAGCTTAGGACGAGTTGTCAGGTGGTTGGCTGAGAGGGTTTACAAGTTCACAGAATGTTCCATGATCTTGGCTTGGTGGACTTGTTAAAGCTGACTCAGTATTCTTCCTCCCATCCCTAGAGCTTCCTAGGGGGGAGACGAATATATCACATTCCCTGGTTATTCTCCATAAAGTCCTGGATGCCAGGTAATTCCAAAACATCCTGAGATTACCTCTCCCCAGCCACTGAATGGTCTCTTGGGAAAACAAATCTCTGCTCGGTGTCCTAGGGACAGGTAAACCTCATCAAGCAGGCTGTCCTTTAGTTGAACTGTCATGCAGAGGAGGGATGTGACTTCAACAGGGGAACACTGAGTGTCCATCTGGGGACAGTCATTTATTTATTTAGTGATCGCCTAGACACAAAAGTTGGAGTTGGCACTGTGGGCCTGCCCTGGCCGGAAAAGAAAGCTGATGAAGAAAAGAATGTCAAAAGCAGCCACTGTCTCACACAAAAGCCTCCAGGGTAGCACAGTTTTTATCCCTGCTACTGAATCCTTATTCCATTTTTAGTGTTGCGTCGTCTGAGGATGTAAACCCCTCCTAGGAGACTCTGAGCCCTCACCCTCCTCGGATGGGGGAGGACAGACTAGCACACAGCACATCTCTGCCAAGTCTGCCATACCCTTAAGTGAGATATTTTCATCTTTCATTTACATGCTTCGGGCTTTTCTTATTTCCCACCTAAATTTAAATGAAATGTCGGCAGCTACCGTTAACACCCAGCAAACCCCAAAACTCTAAAACAAAATGACCTTAGAATGGTGACCTCTAAGCAAGTGATTAAAATTGACTTTCATGCCATCTGGGTCGTACAAACACACACACACAAACACACACACACATATATATATATGTATGTATATATATATATGTATATATAACACACACACATTATCTGAAAAAAAAAAAAAAAAAGGATTAACTCTGGACACCAGAGCCTTGAAACTGACAGGAAGATACAACTCTTGCTAGTTGGAGGCTGACCTCAGTAAAGTCCATGGCTTTACTGTACAGAGGCAGCCCACTGTGCTGCAAGCAGCAGCTTCGAAAGAAGGATTGAGAGACGCTGAGCCTAACAGGGTCCCGCGAACAAAAGTAGCCTTTGAAACTCATGTCTGATGGCGTATCAAGAGTCCTCATGGTGGTTCCAGCTGCCACTAATTATTCCAAGTCAAAGGCTCATTTTATCGTGCTCATCTTTGGGGGCTGATGGCTAAGACTTACACAATCTGAAGGGCACAGTTTGGAGTGTTGAGGATTTTCAGGTGTTTGATGTTGGCTCTGGCGACATGGCTCTCGAAGAACCGGCATGGGCATCTGTAGCTCAGGCTGACGGGTTTACCTGGGGGAGGTGTGGAGAGAGAACAAGGCCATTCATTACGCTGTCCGGTGTGGGGGTTAGGGGGATAAGATGGTGGCCTGCTGATGGTGAAGAATCGGGGACAATGCCAGGAATGGCTACAGAAGCATTCTTGCAAATGTCATCTTCTCTGTCAGAGAGCACAGTGAGGTTTTACTGGCTCGGCTTCTAAGGGAACACAAGAACCTGGGGAACATGGAGGAGGTTGTAGGCCCTCTCTTCCCTCTGGTGCAGGCCTTCAGTGAGGGGTAGGGAGGGCTACCCTCTACCACCTGGAGTTTTCTCTCCTCCCACTCACCCTAAGCCCTGGAAATCACAAAGGACTCCAGAGGGGAGGCCCTGGATTTACCTTCCATCTAGCTTTTCCCAAAAGCTGGCGTCAAATGTGGCATTTACCCTCAGTACCTGTACGCTTAGGCCTCCTGGATCCGATTACTAGTTTTGTTTGCCAATTCACCAATTTGCAAAATGCCATAATTGACACTCATTAGTGTAAATTAGCAAGGGGCTCCTTTAGAACCCCTCTTAAGACCCACACTTTAAGTCTGGAATTGCAAGTCCCCGAGGTCTGGATTTGTAGCTGCTCCCCCAACAAGATTTTTAGCCTAGCTCTACATAATATCTTTTCACCAGAGTTTAAAAGCGTGGCTGAGAATAGTTAATCCCGGGATTTTAAGTGCGCTTACTCAGAGTTCCAGGGGACTTCTGAGTGTTCTGAAGTTCTGCACCTTTGGGAAGCAGTTGCAGAAAGTGGGTGAAATCTGGTATAGGATCGGCTTCTCTTTCTCTACAGGTGTCATTTAGCTGAGGGATGGTTGTGGCCTAGGAAGGCCAGTGAGTGTAGACACTAAAGCATAGGAAAAGCAGACTTCATGTACAGACCAAAGTCCAGACCAGCTCTGCTGCCACTCTGGACTTGGGACCTAGAGAGTTTGGCTTAGGGTGCCAGAGCGCATCCCTCTCTGTTTCTCATGAGAAGCCTCCTGCCCCTGGGTTTAACCCGGGAAGCTCCAGGTGTCTGATGAGTTGGGGCAGCTGAAGGGAAAAGACAGGAACCACAGCAAGGTTAGCCGCACTGCAACTCGAGGCCCGTGCAGGACCAGCGGGCACACAGGTGCTAGGAGTAAGGAAAGAAATTGATGTGGGCAGTGCAATGGGTCTTCCAAGGAGAACCGGTGTGCTCCAGACACTTGACGGCAGAGAGGTCAGCAATCTTCCTAGGGTCGTAATCTGTCTGAGGGTCAGGCACCCCATTTGCTCTGGACAGTCTGCCCTCCAGCCTTGAGGACCTGGCTTCCTGCATTCTTGCCTCATACAAAATTTCCCAGAAGGCAGTCCTGTTGGCCAGAGCTTGTTACCCTTGCCACTTCACCATCTCCTTCCGTTATTAACGCCCAAATCAGCACGCTCCGTGACAGGGTAATGGGGGCCAGTGGGAAGCTGCAACCTCCCAGGCGGTCTCAGTAACATTTTTTTTTCCCTTTTCAGATCAGCAACTCGCTATGCTTTTGAAGAACATTTCCCTCGGACTAGGCAAGTCCAGCCTCTCCAAACACACTCAGCGAACTACAGGTTCCATTAAGACCGGTATCCCAACCCAAACCAACGCCCTGGTGCACTTGGACAGCATGCAGCCCCCGACGGTCCCTCACTTCTCTCCAGGAAACACCGCAGCCAAGGAAGGCGGGGGCCCGAATGGTGGGGTTTTGTTTTGTGTGTTCAGAGGCAATGGTTTGTTTTGTTTTGCAGCTGCGGTGTCCTGTAACAGTGCAGAGAGTTTTCTCCTCGGTGTCAAAAAAAAAAAAAAAAGGAAAACAAAAATGAAAGCCCTTTCCCAGTGAAAGGGGACACCACCCTGGGTCTGGGAGACTGAACTCCGCCGCAGCTCCCACTCCGGGCCGCAGGGCTCCGGGGCTGGCTACAAAAGCGCCCGTCTGCAGGTGTGTTGGGGGTTTGGGGAGAGGTGTTGCATGGCCTGGGTGACTACTGCGCCTTTGTCTAGTGACCCCGGGAAGAAGAAACGGGCAGCTAAGAGACGCGTGCTCAGGTCCGCGTCGCCACGGACCAACGAACCGTGCAGAAGCGCCTCCGGGGCTGCAGGCGCGAGTTCAAGAGCTGCGCTGCGCCCATCCCAGAGTCCCTCGAGGGTGCTCTAAGAGGACCAGCCACGCTCGGAGGGGACGCAACACAGTTGCACCATACCCATGGCCAAGCCGAGCACTTTTTGCTCCTTGATGGGCTGTTAAAGAGTTCGCTTACACTCGAAACTGATCTCCGATACAGTACACTCCCGGACCGCGCTGCCTTTTGCCTCTGGAAACATCTGGGCGCCGGTGGCCACTAGCTGAGCGCAGCTGGCGCGCTCCGGGGGCCCCAGCCCGGGACACCGCCGCCCACGCTGCCCTTGCACCCCAGCCCCACGCTTGCCCAACAATCCTGCGCGTCCTCCCCTGCAGCCCTCCCCAGGCTCTGCGGCCGCGCTTCCCAGAGCCCCAAACAACCCGTGCAACGCGCGAAAGGGCACCCGGAGGTGCCTCAAGTTCGACTGCCATGAACCGCGCCGAAGAGGCTTCTTCCTCCGGGACTCGGGCGCCGGCGGGGGAACCGAGCTGAGAGCCTCTCCCGGGCCCCGGGCGGGGATGGCACTCACCGTCGCTGATGCAGAGCGCGGCCAGCACCAGGGCCAGCACGGCCACGACCTTGGCGTCCATGGCGTGGGCGGGAGGGCGCGCCGGAGGCGGCTGCGGGGCTGGACGGCAGGAGGGCACCGAGGTGGAGCGAGAGTGAAAGTGCGGCCGCGGGAGTCGCGCGCCGGGCGCTTTAGAGGCGGGAGGCGGGCGGGCGGGGCGGGGCGGCGCTGGTCGAGGGGCGGGCCCGGAGGGTGGCGGGGGTCTCTGACGCGCGTCCCCCTACGGAGCGGCCGCTCCCTCCCTCCTCCCCCTCCCTCCTCTCCCTGGCGCCCTCAGTGTCCCCAGCCCCGCTGGGAGCCGAGACCTTTGATCTTCCCACTATCCAACCTGGGCCGGCTCCCTGGACCTGAATTACAAAGAGGCTGGGCCCTAGGGCTTAAACGTTCCCATCTTGCAGATTTGAGACCTTAAGGGCTCGTGGCTGTTTAAGGCCAAAGAGCTGAGATGAGGACCGGTGAGACCCAACAGTCCGTCCCAGGCGCAAGGGGCTGATGCGCCGCGTCTAAAAGCTGCCAGCGAACCCCATCTTTGGGGTCAGGAGTCAAGCTGACCCACCTCACGCCCGGGCTCTCCGGGCCGCAGCGGACAGCTAGGCTTGGGGGCAATACGATCAGTCTACGGTAGTGATCCTCCCAGACGAAGTATCACTGCCCTAACCCACTGGGAAGTTGCCTGCTAACGCAGGGCCGCGCTGCTCTGCAAAAGAGGCCAAGCGGGTCTCTCAGAGTCGCTTAGTACCGAGCATTTTCTTTGCCACCTCCCGTCTGTTCTGTAGGCTGGGGGCGCGGGGGGGGGGGGAATCACAGCTCTCACCCCGCCGAGTGGAAACGCTGGAGAAATGCCCGAGAGTCTCACTCCTGCGAAACGCCGCGACTCCCTGTGCTTGGTTTTCGTGGGTGTTCGGTGAAGGAAAGCTAGAGGTTTTTAAACTTCGGTGTTCCCAGCCTTTCCCAAAAATAAAGTCTAGTGTTCTCCAAAGGAAGAAAGAACTCCCCACCGTCCTGCTCCCCCAAACCAGTGCTTCCGAAGGTGGTCACTGGTGTCTTTACAAATACATCATTGGGGTTCAGCCCTGTGGGTGGGCTGTTGTGCTCCACGCAGATCAGCCGAAACAACCCCCACCCGGGAGGACAGGAGAACAGGGGTGGGAAGACAAGGGGGAGGGGGCGAACCCCAGCCCGGAGGGCGAGAAGCTGAGGGCAGCGTCCCTTGGACCTTCCTCGGCCACAGGCAGTAACGACCATGCTGTCACCAATTTTCCCACTTGGCCCATTAGTGATTTGGATTCTGTTACCTAATCCACCCAATGGGTGCAGAAGGGAGATTTGCCTCTGTCTCGGGGGCATCTGGGGGTCATGTTTTTGAAGGCGTGACCAGGACCTCTGGACCTGGGGCTCCACCTAGGGACTAAAGAACGGAGGCAGGGGTCAAGAGGAAAGTGTTCCAGCTATGAGTGTCTTAAGCAACTCCGCCGAGCACTTTGCACTCATTCATTCGTCAGGCGCACTGTGGGGACCAAACTTCAAATCAGGAACCGCTCCGACCTGGTCCCTGCGTTTAAAAAGTAACATTCTAGAAAAGGCAGTCATCCATTTCCACCGGCTTTTGCTTTGTCATGAGTTGGGCGGTCAGGGTGCTAGGCTCTGAACTTTCTGGACCTGCTGTAGAGGATGGTCGGCAGAGGCTGGGCTCCGGCGCCCTCTGGTGGCCATATTTCCCCCACTCCCGAAATCCGAGAGGCAATGTTCAGACATACGGGGTTCCTGAGAGAACATATATAAATAGCCAGTTGCTCTTGGCCAGACACTACTTTGAATACAAAAACTCGTCCTGGTGCTCCTCCCGTCCAGGGCATCTCGGAGGCAAGGAGAACCTCTCCAAAGCAGGTGTCCAGGTCTCTTGCAACTTGGTGTTTGCTACAAAATCAGGGCTCACACACAGCCCAGGAGTGAGAATAGGGGGAGGGGTGTCCGGTGCAGGCTAAGAGCTAGGCAGAGGCCAGCAAGGGCTCTGGCAGACACATACTAAGGTCCCAGAAGCTAGTGTGGGTCACGTCTGTGCCCTACGTTCATTTATTAAAACGCTTTCGGTAGGTCTTCCTACTGTGTGCTAGGCATGAGCTAAGAGTTGGAAATACTTAAAAGAAAAAAAAGGAGTCCTAGGGTGAGGAAGGAAGGGGGCTTGAGCAGCACTGAAGCCAGCGATCAAGCATACATCATGTAAAATGCTCTGTGGAGACGCAGCAGTGAAGGCAAGAGCTTGGGGTTTTAAATAGCGTGGTCAACGACCTGGATTTTAGATTGTTCTTTTTTAATCTCTAAAAGTTTAGAGATTGATTTTGCTTAGCCAAACAAGTGTCTCCCAAATGTGAGGCTATCCTGCTTGTGCTGTCGTCTCTACCCAGTTCCGCCCATGTCCCCTCGCTGTGGTCAGGCTTCCCACGAAGGCCCCAAATCAACTCACCATCTCTGTGGAAAATGTCTGCAGCTCTCCTCCGCACAGCACAGAATGGGCGGCTGTTTCACTAAATTCCCGCTTGCAATGTGTGTAACTGGCAGGATAGCTTCAGCTGACTATTTCTGAAAGCAGTATATCGTTACGGTCTTTTTAAAAAATAGGTTCTGTTAACAGTGACAGTGCACAGCCAAAAAATTGCATCCTGACACTTATTTGCCAACGTGTAATGAACTTCGGGTATAGTCACCTTCTTGTTAGTCTTGTCCCCGCCTTTTTCTCGCTTCCTCCTCCTTCTTCCACATCTCTTTTAGTTTCGTATCCCCCGTTTTCTTCTTTTCTTTAGATTCCACATACAAGAAAAAAATGCTTTATTTTATGAGACTGAACATACATTTCCTTGCAAATGACATAATTTCACCCATCTTTCAAGACTGAGTACAACTCCATTGTCCATATAGATCACACTTTCCCATTCACCTGTTGGTGGCACCTAGGCGATTTCCATAATTTGGTGGTGCAAATATTACCATAAGAGAGAATGATCACAGGAGACACTATTTTTAGATGTAGGCTTATATTTTTTTAAGTAATAAAAAAAAAAAAGACTGATATAACACTTCAAATATTGCTCAAGATTGATTTTTTAATGTATGATTTTAATTTTAAAAAGTGAATAGAGTTATGCTAACATATGACAAAGTAATCTAGGTAGTTGGGGGGGGCATCAAATCTTGAAAATAATGCAAGAGCCCCAAAGTTTCATAATGCGCAGTGTCTCAGGCAGGCTCTCCTTTTAAAGTGAACTTTTTGGCTTCAGAGTGGTGAAACATCAAATCAGAAAGAAAGTGGTCTCCCTCTTCTCTCTCGGACCAGGGTGTGCAGAAGAAGGTGAATTCCAACTGTACTTCAGGTTCCTCCTCCATGCAGGTCTCACGAGGGGGGGGAGGGCTCTGTCAGCAGACAGAAGCTCGCTCAGCTCTGACATCCCCTACAGCGCCCAGGAGCAAATGGCCTGCTCCTACAGCAGTGAAGCTGAAGAAAGCACATGCCCACAGCCTTGCTGCTTGAACCACTTGTGTGCTACCCGTCGAAGTTGGTGCTGGGTGGTTTTACCAAGTGTCAAAAACGCTTGCCCCGGAGAAGCTCTTTCGGAAGATATTCAACGGTTCTGGGTCTGTAGGACTTCACCTTATCAGTTCTGGGTCTATCACATTTGGCTTTTTACCAAGATCATGCTTTCAGTAAAAACTGTCCCACCTCAGCTCCAAAGACAAGGAACCTGGACCAACACGGCAGAACCATCCATCAGTGGTGGTGGAGGGGACTAGCACAAGTGCCTGTGACCATCAGCAAGTCACAGATGTATGTTTAGAGACACAAGTCATTTCTGTGACAGCTGTCTAGGAGGTCTCATGAAGGTTTAGAGTGAGTTCTAAGGCTTAGCATGTGCTGAGCTGGCCATATTTTCCTTGCCTGGATCCCAAACTGAAGTTTTTTAAAAAATCTCCTATCACAGGGTTGGGGAAGGATCCCAGCAAATCTGAGCCACATAACAGTGGATTTGGGATACCTACACAGGCAGGGCTACATGCATGGGGAGCATGTGCGAACATAAAACCATGATGTCTAACATGGGCCTGCTCAGAGTAGCCAGACACCGAAAGGCACGGGTGTTTCCCAGAGCACAGGAGAAGAGCCTCCCAGATTTAATGTTCTCTGGAAGACCCGAGGCCCTCAGGGCCCAGGCCTGAGACTAAGCCACACTAGCTGCCAAGCGTGGAGAGTCAGGTCTGGATTTGTCCCTCCCCTCCAGGCCTAGCCATCTTCACTTCAGCTACACTTCCTTTTGGCAGACAGAGCTCGGTAGCTACGGTACCACGGAAGGCTCTAAGCTGGAATACAGCAGTTGCACCTCATCAGAGGCCTGGCTTTCGGTGGCTTCAGGCACCTACAATCAACCCATGCTCTGAAAATACTCCGTGGAAGATCCCAGAAATCAATAATTTCGTGTTCTAAATTGTATAAATGTGATAAAAAATATCTCTCCCCCTGTCCCATCATACCCCAGACACAAATCATCACTCTGCTCAGCATATTCACAGAGTATGCACGACTGACTTGTTAGTGTCTTAATGCTATCTCAGTTACTGACCTTGAAAGCCATCGCCTTTCCAGGGCTTGGTATTATGTGTGGTTTCAAATATCCATGGGAGTTTTCAGAACGCACTCACCTCTACCGTGTTTACCACGTTCTGCCAACCACAAACCTCAATGATGGATGGCAGGAGCTTGGGAGTAGGTACGGCACCGAGTCACTCAGCACCCTGCCCTATCTCCCTTGTGCGCTCACACCTGCCCTGTGAGATTGGTTCACCGGCCAACTTGAGAAGTGAGATCCCTTGTATATGTCTCTGAAGACCTGGGATTTAAATACAATTTAAAAGGGGGCTGTCTTGGCGAAGGGTGAGAATAAATTTGCTTCGTAGAAACTCAAGACCTCTTTGAATTTCAGAGAAAATACATTTAAATATAAGTTCCACGTGTTTCATATTTTTTATATAGAAAAGAATCATTTGTCGTTTGTCTGAGCTGCAAGCTTACCTATGTATTTTGTGGTTTGATGGTGGGTTTGACAGCCCTACTTCAGGATCTATAC